GTTCAATAGGATCTATAGAGGAAAAATAGAAACCAACAATAGAATTTCATGTGTCTGTCCCTCATATAAACATCATTTAAACCTGTGAAGCTAAATTTTACTTAAAGACACATGATTGAAATTTTCTTTTCACTGTTTATTTTGTAAATTCTTATAAACCAGCCTTTCACTCTATCAGGATGTTTCTTTTCTCTGAATAAATAAATTCTTTCAGAAAACCAGCATCTTTCGACATACCACAGCCATCACACCTCCTTTTGACCACAAATCTTCCTCCAGCTCTCATCTCAAAGAAGATGACTCATTTTGTGTCCCTCACCACTCTGGACCCACCCTAACAATAAGACTATTTCTCAAGCCTCTTGTCTGTTTTAAATTAATCCCCTTTATTTTAGTTTCTTTTTCAAGGTTGCATTACAAAATCATTACTTTTCTTTGGCCAATTACTTGACTTTTTTTGTTCTGTTCATCCTCACTTGACTCTCATCATTTACAAATTATTAACAAAAACTACCTAAGACCTACACTGATAGGTCTTATCAAATTCAAAAAGGATTGCCACCTGCATTGCATTTTTGAAATATATAGCTGTGTATGAAAATTCCATAGTCAATATCTAAAACATACAGCAGCCAACATAAATATGTTATTATGGCACTATAATATTACTGGATTCTAGGATGATCTGGTGTATAAAATAGCTTCTCAAAGATTCTAAGAACATATATACAAAATGTGTTATGACTTAAAAACCAAATTTCTTATTCTGGTTTTTGGTGTTCGTGCCAAAGATATACTGCAACATTCACAGTCTATACCCTACACCTTAGATCAACTTTTCTTGTTTGTATAGATTAAAGTTATTTTAAAATATATAATTAAACTAGGAAATTCATATATTCTATTTCCACAGATAATTGTTTTCTTTTACCATTTGAAGACTGTAGACTGAAAATAATGTAGAGATATGTGGCACCAAGAAAAATGGGTGTGAAAATTTGCAGATTTCAAACGGGATCATATTTAGTCATGTATGACTCTTCCCTGTGTAGATCAGACAAAAGGTGAACCCCAATGCCCTTGCAATCCCCAAAGGGCAACATGGCTTTAGGATGACTATTCTCTCTGAAATTTCAATACTGGACTTAGGACTGTGTGTACAAACATTGTAGCCCACCTCATGCAGCATGATCAGGAATAACTTTGCTGGTGGAATTTATGGACCTAAGATCCTATTTCATTAGATTCTGGACTCTATGGTTGTTGTGTTGGGTTTTTTTAATATTAGTTGCTTGGATTTTCATAATTAGTGTCTTCAATGGAATATTTTCATTTTACAGCAACAGTTGAACTGAAGACGTGTAAATTACCAAAGACAATTGCCTATGAGACAAAGTTGTCAGGTAGGATTGACTATGAGCATAATAAGAAAATCAGTTACACTTGTGGGAGGAAGTCAGAGCAGAAACACTCAGTCTGCGTGAACGGAAAGTGGGAGCCCGAGGTGACCTGCACAGGTGAGCTCTTGTTTAGAACATTTCCAAACGGTGATTTTCCTTCCTGCCTTGTACAAGGTGTCTCTTTGTGTCTTAACATTTTATTTCTAAGTCTGTATTATGACAATAATGTTGTAGCTGGAAAGTAATTTAGAAAATAACCAAAACACTGTTTCTGAATAGTAATTGTATCATGTGCAGTGGTCAGCTATCAACCAACCACCCGGCAGTGCGGTGGCTTTAAAGTCACACTGGGCAGTGGGTGTGCGCATTACTATTGGGATCCCATTGCTACCAAGTTCTTACCTTACAGATGTGCCTATGCCTGTAATGCGTGTGTTTATCTAAGCATCTATGGGTGCACGCTCTATCTATGTCTGCATCCATCTATCTCTGTAGGAATCTACACATCTAGTCATCTGTCTTTGCTCATTTATCTGTCTGACAAACACTGAGTCTCATTGCCACCACCAATTCCAATAACACAGGGTTCATCCACTTTTCATATCACTATTGCTCTTCTTTAATTGAGGGCACCATGACCCACTCACCTCAATATATTTACCAATTTCCATGGGCCTAGAATATACAGAAAGCATTTTACATAAGCTAAGCTACCCAAGATTTATCCCAGACAGAATAAAGGAAAGAACCTACAAGGAAGGCCATGAGAATATAAACCCAATGAGGTATATTAGAGTGACAAACAAGACGGAAAGTATAACATATTTAAACACAGAACAGAGCATTATAGTTTGATCTTTCCAGGTGCATTATTATTCATCATTTTATTCACTGAATTGTTATTTTAATATTTTTGACTTACAATTTTTCATCAAGAAATCTGATTTTAATATTTTTAGAAGCGCCACGATGTCCACCTCCACCTCAGATTCCCAATTCTCAACCTATGGCCCTTTCAGTGAATTTTCAAGAAGGAGAAAAAATATCTATTCTCTGTCAAGAAAACTTTCTCATCCAGGAAGGAGAGGAAATCGTGTGCCAGGATGGACGATGGCAGTCAATACCGCGCTGTGTCGGTCAGTAGTGGGGCACTGCGTTACACTGTCTCTCAGATGAGGGTAACCCAGAGCCCTGCTTTGTGTAAAGGAACAGGATGCGCCCTTTCCCCTACCCTTCCCACTTCATCTCCAAACAGTACACACCATCCAGGTGCAGAAATCCATCAGCATTATTGCCCTTCTAATGTGAAGTGAATGCAAACAGAAACTTCCGGTGACTGTGGAAATACCCAAGTTCTGTTTCTGCGTATTTCACTCCTCAGGATGAGCAGGAGGAGACTGAAGAGGCATATGGGACACATGGACAGTAGCATCCATTTTATGGGCACATATATCTTTGCAAGTTTCAAATACTTTTAGTTATTAATAATTTAATTGGTTCCAATGTCCCTAGTTTAAAATCCCAAACAGTGTTGGATTTTATTTTTCAATTTAAACATTACCTTTGTGCTTCACCCTTTAATCTCTATTTTTTCTATAGAAAACACGCTGTGTTCTCAACCACCTCATGTAGAACATGGCAGCATTATTTCATCCAGATCTTCAGAAGAAGGAAAAGAAACATTGGGACCCAAGCTATATGCGAATGGCACCACATTAAGTTATATTTGTAAGGATGGTTTCAAATTATCCAAAAAAGATGGGATAACATGCCACCGGGGAAAATGGAGTGCTCCACCACAGTGTGTAGGTGAGGACAGCATGCAAACTAAAGTTCTGTTTTGGTGCAGTTCAGTAAGATAATCCATCGTCATCATCAAAACCATGAGAAATAACTCGTTAGATTTATGAACATAGAAAGCCATTATATGTCACTTACATATTACCATATTTTGCCAAATGATTTTTGCATAAACAAATTAAACCAATTTTTATTAATTTTATTGGCTCATTATGAAATCACTTTTAATTCGGGCATTTCTCTCTTACTAAAACTGGAAGTGTGGTGAAATGAAACTGCACTCTTCATATAAGTGTACCCATTCATATCCTACATGTTCATATGGGTTGCAATGAAGGCTTTGCCATCAGGTTTTATAAAGATTTATGTTCTCTCTCCATTATCCATTCTGATCTCTTACAACAGAGGATACTTTTCTTAAGATGATTCTCAGTGTGTTTATTTTTATTGCTCATGGTTGGTTAGGGAAGTGTTGACAGTCCCATTCTCAGATCTGTTCACATTTCTCCAAGCTCCCTGCTCAAGCTGACAGCTGGACAACCACCATGGTGGTTTGTCAAGCATTTGTGCGCCTTTCCTGTCATGTGATATTAGCACCTGTGTGATCATTTTCTTTCAAATGAAAGTACCAAATATGACAACCAGGACATGAAGTAAAGTTCAGTTAGTGAAATACTCAGTCATGCTTCCTTTTTTTTTCTTTTCTTCTTTCTTTTAGGAATTCCTTGTGGACCACCCCCTGAGGTTTCCAATGCTGTTGTATTTGGCAGATTAAACAGTTATCCACATGGGGAAAAATATACGTACACCTGTGACAGTGGATTTCAGATTCAGGGACCTGTATATGTGGAATGTTCAGGAGGAAAATGGTCCAGTCCACCAGAATGCACAAGTATAGTGTATTTCTTTTTATTCTGAGGCTGATGAATATCTTTAGTTCAGAGCATCCATGGTAAAACTATAAAACTGTAGTAGTTCTAGAAGGTATCTCTAGAAAGTTCTGGATTCCAGTAGAGAATTAATAGCCCTGGTAATATTAAAACTTTGGACAACAGGGGCCAAATTATTTCGTTTGATGTCATCTGTGTTCACTTTCCATGTGTTCTGATGGGCAGCCTCTGACTTCTCATCTCTTCTTGTATCACAGCTGGTCCCTGCTCACCGACCTCATCATTATTCAATTCATTGACAGTTTATCAGTTTTTTCCTCATAAATCCATAATGTTCTAAGATGGTTGATGTAGCCAGGCCCACATGTGTCGCTGGTTGAGCATATAACTATGAACAAGTAGGTGACAGTTCGATTCCCAGTCATGGCACATACAAGATTGCAGGATCTAATCCCCAGTAAGGGGCATGCTGGAGGCAGCCCATCAATGATTCTCTCTTCTCATTGATGTTTCTATCTCTCCTTCCCCTCTGAAATCAATAAAAACATAGTTGTTTTAAGATGTTTGATGTAACTATGGGAAACCAATTTGGACAGAAGCAAAAAATGTAATATGTACATAGTGTTTGTGGCCCGTGTGGACAAATAAGAATTTGGATGTAAGAAGTTTGGTCTGGATCATGACCTGTATGCCCATCTCCTCAGGCTTTCAATACCACCATCCCCACGTGACACCTTTAATAAATGTAAAATTATTCAATGTAATTGAGTCAAATCTGCTTGAATTTTCAAGTTATAAGAAAAACATTGTACAGAAGGCATTGGTTTTGTGTGTATCTATTATTCTAAAGTAAAATTATTGGCCGACATGTTAAAGATTTACTGAAAAATCTATGTTCTTGCCTTTTCAGCAATGACTTGTCCTAGCCCACCCAGCTATGACAATGCCATCCTCGTGGGCCAGCCGAAGAACTCATACAAGTCAGGAGAACAAGTGACTTATAGATGTACAGAACATTACCAAATGGATGGATCCAATACTGTGCAATGTATGAATGGCGGGTGGATAGGAACACCCACATGCAAAGGTATTGTGGTCAATGGCTTCTAGCATCATTAAAAATTAGACGCAGGTTCTCCTGAGGCCAGATCAAGGAAGGTTTATGCCTCAACAGAGGGGAATAGGATGTGAACTCAGTGCTGGGCATTGGGGCCCCAGATCCCTCAGAGTGTGACCCAGGAAACAGCCGTGTCACTGTCTCTGGGGAATTGGTAGAAAGGCAAATGCAGACTCACAGGCTTACTCAGACTCTGCATCAGAAGTCAGGGGTTGTGACCCTGAAACCATTGTAGCAATTCCCAGCGGGCTCTACGCCCATTTTGTGTGGAACCATATCTTCAGCCTCTTATTACTTTACTAGAGGTCGGTGCACGAAATTCATGCACTTGTAGTGTCCTTAGGGGCTGCTGGCTGCCAACCACGTATTCTCTCCCTTTCCCGGCCACCTGCCACTGCCTGCTGCTGCTGCCAGCCAGGGCCTCTCTCCCTTCCCCCAGCTACCTGCCAGCACTGCCTGCCAGGGCCTCCCTCCCGTTCCCCACCTGGTCTGACCCCTAGTCGAACTCCTGGAAGAACTTAGGTCGAGGGGACAATTTGCATACTACACTTTTATTATATAGGATATCCACCCAAGTCTCCCCAATGAACTGCACAGTGCTCACTGCAGTGTCCTTAAGAACTCACATTATTGGAGTATTTCTGAAATTATAAATATATTTTACTCTTATTTTTCTTTAATTTCGGTGAGGATCTTTTAATTTTTAATCTTTATTGTTGAAAGTATTCCAAAAGTCCACTTTTCTCCCCATTGACCCCTTCTAGCCTAGCCTTGGCCCCCACCCCAGTCTTTCACCCCCCTGTTGTCTGTGTCCATGGGTTATGCATGAATCTATACAAGGTCTTTGGTTGTCTCTTCCCACCCCTCTACCGACCATATGATATCCCTCAATGTAATATGTACATAGTGTCTGTGCCCGTGTGGGCAAATAAGAATTTGGATATAAGAAGTTTGGTCTCAATCATGACCTGTATGCCCATCTCGTCAGGCTTTCCATCCCACCATAGTACATTTCCTTCAACCATAAAAGCCTGTTAATTCTTGCCTCAAAACCTGTTAATTCTTGACTTTCTGTCTCCGAAAGAGGCTACTGTCACTGGTCTCCTAAAGGCCTAAAATAAACATTCAAAAACATAATGTTTGTGAAACACATTTTGATGCCAAATAAGGGATTGATTATGAGTACTGGGGGTTTACAAATTCATTTTGAATTTATATAATTGATGTTTGGTTTACTAAACTTCAAGGAAAATGTTCAGAAAAACTATCATTTTCTCTTTATTTCGATTATGTCTTAAAATTCTTTTCTTGAAGTTATTGGGGTGGCATTGGTTAATAATTGGTGCTGGGAAAATTTGTCCCAACACGATCTTTTCTGATATATCTCCTCGAGCAAGGAAAACAAAAGAAAAAAATAAACAAATAGGACTACGTGAAACTAAAAAGTTTTGCACAGAATAATCATCATTTTCATTGGACTAAAAATCTCCATTAACCTTAGAGAGAGGACGGGAAATAAATTTAAGATATAGAAGTTGAAAACTTACCCAAAAAATTGCTTTATCTATTTTCAATCTTGCATGTAAATTTGTGAAGATTTTCAGTCTCAATTGCGTCTAAATGATCGCTACATTAGAGATTCCTTTTTTTCTCTTTATTCAGATCTCTCCTGTGGCAGCCCTCCCTCAGTGCAAAATGCCTTTATACCAGAGGAGAAGTCTAGGTATAGACATGGGGACACAGCACATTATGAATGCAGGCACCCTTTGGGCCTCTATGGGAAAGCAGAAGTGACATGTCTAAGAGGGAAGTGGACAGACCCACCTGAGTGCAAGGGTAGGTGTCTCATTCTCCCCTCCCAGTCTCTGTGCAGCTTCTGTAAGCACTTGGATACTAGACTCCTGTCCAGCTGGCCTTCATTTGGTTACTCAGGTTTGTTGCTCTATCGTTTCCTGTAAATCAGTTAGGGGCCAGGAGCCAATGGGTGTAGCTCCCACCTACTCTGCAGCTCCCTTAAAATCAACTGCTCACTCAATAAACCAACAATATCCTCTTTTAGAGCCCACAGGACAATGTAAGCCCCCTCCTGCTATTGACAATGGAGACATTACCACGGATCCATTAGCAGTCTACGCTCCCGGGTCTTCAGTGGAGTATCAATGCCAGGCCTTCTATGAACTTGGGGGAAACAGGAGAATAACGTGCCGTGATGGACAGTGGTCTGAGCCACCCAAATGCTTAGGTAAGTCTGAGAAAATCAGTTTTACTGTTTATGATAAAATTTTGATGAATTAATAAACAATTCTAGCCCTAACCGGTTTGGTTCAGTGGAAGAGCTTTGGTCTGAGGACTGAAGGGTTCCAGGACTGATTCTGGTAAGAGCTCATGCCCAGATTGCCGGCTCCATCTCCAGTGGAGGTTTGCAGGTGGCAGCCAATCAATGATTCCCTCTCATAATTGATGTTTCTATCTCTCTCCCTCTTCCTTTCTCTCTAAAATCATTAAATAAATATTTTTATTTAAAAAAAGATAGAAATAGTTGTAGCCCCGGCTGGTGTCGCTCAGTTGTTTGGGTGTCATCCCAGTTACCAAGAAATCGCTGGTTTCATCCCAGTCAGGGCACATGCTGGGGTTGTGGGCATAATCGCCAGTAGGAGACATGCAGGTACCAAGAAATCGCTGGTTTCATCTCTCTCTCTCTCTCTCTCTCTCTCTCTCTCTCCAGTAGGAGACATGCAGGACGCAGCCATTGATGTCTCTGTCTCTGTCTCTCTCTCTCTGTCTGTCTGTCTCTATCTCTCTCTCTCTCCCCTCTCTATATAAAAATCAATGAAAATATTTTAACTTAAGATATAGAAGCTTAACTCTTACCAAAAAAATTGCTTTATCTTCTTTTTTCAATCATGTGTATAAACTTATGAAGATTTTCCATCTCAAATGCATCTAAATGATCGCTGCATTAGAGATCCATTGTTTTCTCTTTATTCAGGTCTCCCCTGTGGCAGCCCTCCCACAGTGCAAAATGCCTTAATACCAAACCAGAAGCCTAACTATCAACATGGGGACACAGCACGTTATGAATGCAGGAACACTAGGGACCTCATCGGGAATGCAGAAGTGACCTGCTTAAGAGGGAAGTGGACAGACCCACCTGAGTGCAAGGGTAGGTGTCTCATTCTCCCCTCCCAGTCTCTGTGCAGCCTCTGTAAGCACTTGGTTACTAGACCAGCTGGCCTTCATTTGGTTACTCAGGTTTGTTGCTCTATCGTTTCTTATAAATCGGTTTGGGGCCGGGAGGAGGTGAGTGTAGCTCCCACCTACTCCGCAGCTCCCTTAAAATCAACTGCTCACTCAATAAACCAACAATATCCTCTCTTAGAGTCCACAGGACAATGTAAGCCCCCTCCTGCTATTGACAATGGAGACATTACCACGGATCCATTAGCAGTCTACGCTCCCGGGTCTTCAGTGGAGTATCAATGCCAGGCCTACTATGAACTTGAGGGAAACAGGAGAATAACATGCCTTGATGGACAGTGGTCTGAGCCACCCAAATGCTTAGGTAAGTCCTTTAATATTCCTGTGGACTCTGAGAAAATCAGTTTTACTATTTATGATAAAATTTTGATGAATTAATAAACAATTCTAATGAACAGTGTAGCCCTATCAGCTTCAGCTCAGTGGAAGAGTTTTGGTCTGAGGACTGAAGGATTCCAGGACTGATTCTGGTCAAGGGCACATGCCCAGGTTGCAGGCTCCATCCCCATTGTGTCATGATTCCCTCTCATCTTTGATGTTTATATCTCTCTCCCTCTTCCTTTCTCTCTAAAATCATTTAAAAATATATTTTTATTTTAAAAAGGAAAGAAATAGTTGTAGCCCTGGCTGGTGTCGCTCAGTTGTTTGGGTGTCATCCCAGATACCAAGCAATCGCTGGTTTGATCCCAGTCAGGGCACATGCTGGGGTTGTGGGCTTAATCCCCACTAGGAGACATGCAGGAGGCAGCCAATCAATGTATCTCTCTCTCTCTCTCTCTCTCTCTCTCTCTCTCCCTCTCCCTCTCCCTCTCTCTCCCTCCCTGTGTCCCTCTATCCTCTCTATCTAAAAATCAATAAAAAATTTATAACTTAAGATATAGAAGCTTAACTCTTACCAAAAATAATTGCTCAATCGTCTTTTTTCAATCATGTGTGTAAACTTATGAAGATTTTCCATCCCAATTGCATCTAAATGATCGCTGCATTAGAGATCCATTGTTTTCTCTTTATTCAGGTCTCCCCTGTGGCAGCCCTCCCACAGTGCAAAATGCCTTCATACCAAACCAGAAGCCTAACTATGGACATGGGGACACAGCACGTTATGAATGCAGGAACTCTAGGGACCTCGTCGGGAATGCAGAAGTGACCTGTCTAAGAGGGAAGTGGACAGACCCACCTGAGTGCAAGGGTAGGTGTCTCATTCTCCCCTCCCAGTCTCTGTGCAGCTTCTGGAAGCACTTGGTTACTAGACTCCTGTCCAGCTGGCCTTCATTGGTTACTCAGGTTTGTTGCTCTATCGTTTCCTGTAAATTGGTTTGGGGGAGGAAGGAGGTGAGTGTAGCTCCCACCTACTCTGCAGCTCCCTTAAAATCAACTCCTCACTCAATAAACCAACAATATCCTCTCTTAGAGCCCACAGGACAATGTGGGCCCCCTCCTGCTATTGACAATGGAGACGTTACCACGTATCCATTAGCCATCTACCCTCCCGGGTCTTCAGTGGAGTATCAATGCCAGGCCTACTATGAACTTGAGGGAAACAGGAGAATAACGTGCCGTAATGGACAGTGGTCTGAGCCACCCAAATGCTTAGGTAAGTCCTTTAATATTCCTGTGGACTCTGAGAAAATCAGTTTTACTGTTTATGATAAAATTTTCATGAATCAATAAACAATTCTAGCCCTAACCGGTTTGGTTCAGTGGAAGAGCTTATTCTGAGGACTGAAGGGTTCCAGGACTGATTCTGGTCAAGGGCACATGCCCAGGTTGCCGGCTCCATCCCCAGTGTGGGTGGTGCTAGAGGCAGCCAATCATGATTCCCTCTCATCATTGATGTTTCTATCTCTCTCGCTCTTCCTTTCTCTCTAAAATCATTAAAAAATATATTTTTATTTAAAAAAGAAAAGAAATAGTTGTAACCCTGGCTGGTTTTGCTCAGTTGTTTGGGTGTCATCCCATATACCAAGAAATCGCTGGTTTGATCCCAGTCAGGGCACATGCTGGGGTTGTGGGCTTAATCCCCACTAGGAGACATGCAGGAGGCAGCCAATCAATGTATCTCTCTCTCTCTCTCCTCTCTATCTAAAAATCAATAAAAAATTTATAACTTAAGATATAGAAGCTTAACTCTTACCAAAAAAAATTGCTCAAACTACTTTTTTCAATCATGTGTGTAAACTTATGAAGATTTTCCATCTCAATTGCATCTAAATGATCGCTGCATTAGAGATCCATTGTTTTCTCTGTATTCAGGTCTCCACTGTGGCAGCCCTCCCACAGTGCAAAATGCCTTCATACCAAACCAGAAGCCTAACTATGGACATGGGGACACAGCACGTTATGAATGCAGGAACTCTAGGAGCCTCGTCGGGAATGCAGTGGTGACATGCTTAAGAGGGAAGTGGACAGACCCACCCGAGTGCAAGGGTAGGTGTCTCATTCTCCCCTCCCAGTCTCTGTGCAGCTTCTGTAAGCACTTGGTTACTAGACTCCTGTCCAGCTAGCCTTCATTGGTTACTCAGGTTTGTTGATCTATCGATTCCTGTAAATCGGTTTGGGGCCAGGAGGAGGTGAGTGTAGCTCCCACCTACTCCGCAGCTCCCTTAAAATCAACTGCTCACTCAATAAACCAACAATATCCTCTCTTAGAGCCCACAGGACAATGTGGGCCCCCTCCTGCTATTGACAATGGAGACGTTACCACGTATCCATTAGCCATCTACGCTCCCGGGTCTTCAGTGGAGTATCAATGCCAGGCCTACTATGAACTTGAGGGAAACAGGAGAATAACGTGCCGTAATGGACAGTGGTCTGAGCCACCCAAATGCTTAGGTAAGTCCTTTAATATTCCTGTGGACTCTGAGAAAATCAGTTTTACTGTTTATGATAAAATTTTCATGAATCAATAAACAATTCTAGCCCTAACCGGTTTGGTTCAGTGGAAGAGCTTGTTCTGAGGACTGAAGGGTTCCAGGACTGATTCTGGTCAAGGGCACATGCCCAGGTTGCCGGCTCCATCCCCAGTGTGGGGGGTGCTAGAGGCAGCCAATCATGATTCCCTCTCATCATTGATGTTTCTATCTCTCTCGCTCTTCCTTTCTCTCTAAAATCATTAAAAAATATATTTTTATTTAAAAAAGAAAAGAAATAGTTGTAACCCTGGCTGGTTTTGCTCAGTTGTTTGGGTGTCATCCCATATACCAAGAAATCGCTGGTTTGATCCCAGTCAGGGCACATGCTGGGGTTGTGGGCTTAATCCCCAATAGGAGACATGCAGGAGGCAGCCAATCAATGTATCTCTCTCTCTCTCTCCTCTCTATCTAAAAATCAATAAAAAATTTATAACTTAAGATATAGAAGCTTAACTCTTACCAAAAAAAAATTGCTCGAACTTCTTTTTTCAATCATGTGTGTAAACTTATGAAGATTTTCCATCTCAATGGCATCTAAATGATCGCTGCATTAGAGATCCATTGTTTTCTCTTTATTCAGGTCTCCCCTGTGGCAGCCCTCCCACAGTGCAAAATGCCTTCATACCAAACCAGAAGCCTAACTATGGACATGGGGACACAGCACATTATGAATGCAGGAACTCTAGGAGCCTCGTCGGGAATGCAGTGGTGACATGCTTAAGAGGGAAGTGGACAGACCCACCTGAGTGCAAGGGTAGGTGTCTCATTCTCCCCTCCCAGTCTCTGTGCAGCTTCTGTAAGCACTTGGTTACTAGACTCCTGTCCAGCTGGCCTTCATTGGTTACTCAGGTTTGTTGCTCTATCGTTTCTTATAAATCGGTTTGGGGCCGGGAGGCCGTGAATGTAGCTCCCACCTACTCCGCAGCTCCCTTAAAATCAACTGCTCACTCAATAAACCAACAATATCCTCTCTTAGAGCCCACAGGACAATGTGGGCCCCCTCCTGCTATTGACAATGGAGACATTACCACGTATCCATTAGCAGTCTACGCTCCCGGGTCTTCAGTGGAGTATCAATGCCAGGCCTTCTATGAACTTGAGGGAAACAGGAGAATAACATGCCGTGATGGACAGTGGTCTGAGCCACCCAAATGCTTAGGTAAGTCCTTTAATATTCCTGTGGACTCTGAGTAAAATCAATATAATGCATAGGTTTTTCTGTTTATGATCACATTTTGATGAATTAATGAACAATGCTAGCCCTATCAGGTTCAGCTCAGTGGAAGAGTTTTGGTCTGAGGACTGAAGGGTTCCAGATTTGATTGTGGTCAAGGGCACATGCCCAGGTTGCAGGCTCCATCTCCTGTGGAGGCGTGCAGGTGGCAGCCAATCAATGATTCCCTTTCAAAATTGATGTTTCTATCTCTCTCCCTCTTCATTTCTATCTAAAATCATAAAAAGTATATTTTTTTAAAAAAAATGAAAGAAATAGTTGTAGCCCTGGCTGGTGTGGCTCAGTTGATTGGGTGTCATCCCAGGTACCAAGAAATTGCTAGTTTGCTCCCAGTCAGGGCACATGCTGGGGTTGTGGGCTTAATCCCCAGTAGGAGACATGCAGGAGGCAGCCAATCGATGTCTCTCTCTCTCTCTCTCTCTCTCTCTCTCTCTCTCTCTCTCTCTTCTCTCTTCTCTCTTTCTCTCCCTTCTCTCCTCTCTATCTAAAAATCAATAAAAAAATTTTAACTTAAGGTATAGAAGCTTAACTCTTACCAAAAAAATTTGCTTGATCTTCTTTTTTCAATCATGTGTGTAAACTTATGAAGATTTTCCATCTCAATTGCATCTAAATTGTCGCTGCATTAGAGATCCATTGTTTTCTCTTTATTCAGGTCTCCCCTGTGGCAGCCCTCCCACAGTGCAAAATGCCTTCATACCAAACCAGAAGCCTAACTATCGACATGGGGACACAGCACGTTATGAATGCAGGCACCCTTTGGACCTTGTCGGGAATGCAGAAGTGACATGTCTAAGTGGGAAGTGGACCGACCCACCTGAGTGCAAGGGTAGGTGTCTCATTCTCCCCTCCCAGTCTCTGTGCAGCCTCTGTAAGCACTTGGTTACTAGACTCCTGTCCAGCTGGCCTTCATTTGGTTACTCAGGTTGATTGCTCTATGGATTCCTGTAATCGGTTTGGGGCTGGGAGGAGGTGAGTGTAGCTCCCACCTACTCTGCAGCTACCTGACATTCAGTAAATCAAATATTATCCTCTCTTAGAGTCTAAAGGACAATGTGGGCCCGCTCCTTCTATGGAGACATTACCACATTCCCATCACCAGTTTATGCTCCCGAGATGTAGCCAGCCCCACATGGCTCAGTGGTTGATCATCAACCTATGAACTAGGAAGTGACAGTTCAAATCCCCAGTGTGGGGTGTGCTGGAAGCAGTCAATCAGTGATTCCCTATCATCAGTGATGTTTCTACCTCTCAATCCCTCTCTCTTCCTCTCTGAAATCATTAAAAAGATAGTCAATTGAATATGTTTGATGTTATTATGGGAAACAGATTTGGACAGAAGCAAAACATATAATATGTACATAGTGAGTGTGACCTGTGTGGACAAATAAGAATTTGGATGTAAGAAATTTGGTCTGGATCATGACCTGTATTCCCATCTCCTCAGGCTTTCAATTCCACCATCCCCAGTGACACCTTTGATAAAGGCAAAATTATTCAATGTAATTGAGTCAAGACTGCTTGAATTTTCAAGTTATTAGGAAAACATTGTACAATAGGCATTAGTTTGGTGTGTATCTATTAATATAAATATAATTATTTGCCAACATGTACTTAAAGATTTACTGAAAAGTGTATGTTGTTGCTTTTTCAGCAATGACTTGTCCTAGCCCACCCAGCTATGGCAATGCCATCCTCGTAGGCCGGAAGAAGAACTCATACAAGTCAGGAGAAGAAGTGATTTATAGATGTCCAAAACATTACCAAATGGATGGATCCAATATTGTACAGTGTATGAATGGCAGGTGGATAGGAACACCCACATGCAAAGGTATTTTGGTGAATGGCTTCTGGCTTCATTAAAAAATAGACGTAGGTTCTGGTGAGGCCAGAAGGAAGGTTTATGCCTCAACAGAGAGGAATGGGATGTGCACTCAGTGCTGGGCATTGGGGCCTCAGAGCCCTCAGAGTGTGACCCCGGAAACAGCCGTGTCAGTGTGTCTGGGGAATCGGTAGAAAGGCAAATGCAAACTCACAGGCTCACTCAGACTCAGCATCAGAAGCTCAGGGCTTGTGACCCTGAAACCGTTGTAGCAATTCCCAGCGGGCTCTGCGCCCACTTTTGTGGGTAACGGTAGCTTCAGCCTCTTATTACTTTATATCCACCCGTGTCTCCCCAATGAACTGCACAGTGCTCACTGCAGTGCCCTTAAGCACTCACATTATCGGAGTATTTCTTGAAATTGTAAATATATTGTACTCTTATTTTTGCTCAATTTCTGTGTGGATCTTTTGATTTTTAATCTTTATTGTTGAAAGTATTCCAAAAGTCCACTTTTCTACCCATTAACCCCTTCTAGCCTGGCCCTGCCTCTTCCCCAGTCTTTCAACCCCCTGTTGTCTATGTCCATGGGTTATGCATGAGTGCATACAAGGTCTTTGGTTCTCTCTTCCTCCCCTTTCCACCGCCTCCATTCCTCTGAGATTCCACAGTCTGTTGCTGTTTGGATCTTTTATGTGATGATCTTTTCCTTCAATTATATGACATCCCTCAAAGCCTGTTAATTCTTGACTTCCTGTCTAAGAAAGAGGCTATTGTCACTTACTTTCTAAAGGCCTAAAATAAACATTCAAAAACATGATGTTTGAGAAACTCATTTTGATGCCAAAAAAGGGATTTATGATGAATATCTAGGGTGTAGATATTCATTTTGAATTTATATAATTGATGTTTGGATTATTAAACTTAAAGGAAAATATTCAGAAAAACTATCATTTTCTTTTTAAAAAAATCATTTTAATTTTTATTGAATTTATTGGCGTGGCATGGGTTAATAAATACTGCTGGGAAAATTGGACAGACACAAGCAAAAAAAAAAAAAAAAAGGAAATTGGACCACCTTCTTATACCAAAGACAAGAATAAACTCAAAATGGATTAAAGACTTCACTATAAGGTGTGAAATCATAAAAATCCTAGAAGAAATCATAGGCAGTCAAATCTCAGACATTTCTCCCAGCACGATCTTTTCTGATATATCTCCTCGAGTAAGGGAAACAAAAGAAAAAAAATAAATAAGTCTACGTGAAACTAAAGTTTTTCATGGCATAATCATCATTTTCATTGGCCTAAAAATCTCTATTAACCTTAGAGAGAGGACGGGAAATAAATTTAAGATATAGAAGTTTAACACTTACCAAAAAATTGCTTTATCTATTTTCAATCTTGCATGTAAATTTGTGAAGATTTTCAGTCTCAATTGCGTCTAAATGATCGCTGCCTTAGAGATTCCTTTTTTCCTCTTTATTCAGATCTCTCCTGTGGCAGCCCTCCCACAGTGCAAAATGCCTTTATACCAAACCAGAAGCCTAGGTATCGACATAGGGAAACAGCACATTACGAATGCAGGAACTCTTTGGGCCTCGTCGTATATGCAGAAGTGACCTGCTTAAGAGGGATGTGGACCGACCCACCTGAGTGCAAGGGTAGGTGTCTCATTCTCCCCTCCCAGTCTCTGTGCAGCTTCTGTAAGCACTTGGTTACTAGACTCCTGTCCAGCTGGCCTTCATTGGTTGCTCAGGTTTGTTGCTCTATCGTTTCCTGTAAATCGGTTTGGGGCCGGAAGGAGGTGAGTGTAGCTCCCACCTACTCTGCAGCTCCCTTAAAATCAACTGCTCACTCAACAAACCAACACTATCCTCTCTTAGAGTCCACAGGACAATGTGGGCCCCCTCCTGCTATTGACAATGGAGATGTTACCACATATATGTCACCATTCTATGCTTCGGGGTCTTCAGTGGAGTATCAATGCCAGGCCTACTATGAACTTGAGGGAAACAGGAGAATAACGTGCCATGATGGACAGTGGTCTGAGCCACCCAAATGCTTAGGTAAGTCCTTTAATATCCTCGTGGACCCTGAGAAAATCAGTTTTACTGTTTATGATAAAATTTTGATGAATTAATAAACAATTCTAGCCCTAATCGGTTTGGTTCAGTGGAAGAGCTTTGGTCTGAGGAATGAAGGGTTCCAGGACTGATTCTGGTCAAGGGCATATACCCAGGTTGCAGGCTTTCAATTCCACCGTCCCCACGTGACACCTTTAATAAATGTAAAATTACTCAATGTAATTGAGTATTGATGGTGAACAAGTTTTAAGAAAAACATTTTTATAACATTTTCAAGTTATAAGGAAGACATTGTACAGTAGGCTTTAGTTTGGAGTGTATCTGTTATTCTAGAGTATAATTATTGGCCGACATGTTAAAGATTTACTGAAAAGTCTATGTTCTTGCCTTTTCAGCAATGACTTGTCCTAGCCCACCCAGCTATGACAACGCCATCCTTGTGGGCCAGCCGAAGAACTCATACAAGTCAGGAGAACAAGTGACTTATAGATGTACAGAACATTGCAAAATGGAAGGATCCAATGTTGTACAGTGTAGGGACGGCATTTGGATAGGAACACCCACATGCAAAGGTATTTTGGTGAATGGCTTCTCCCAACATTAAAAAATAGACAGAGGTTCTGGTGAGGCCAAATCAAGGAAGGTTTATGCCTCACAGAGAGGAATGGGATGTGCACTCAGTGCTGGGCATTGGGGCCCCAGAGCCCTCAGAGTGTGACCCTGAGACAGCCGTGTCAGTGTCTCTGGGGAATCGGTAGGAAGGCAAATGCAAACTCACAGGCTCACTCAGACTCAGCATCAGAAGCTCAGGGGTTGTGACCCTGAAACCGTTGTAGCAATTCCCAGCGGGCTCTACGCCCATTTTGTGGGGAACCGTAGCTTCAGCCTCTTATTACTTTATATCCACCGGAGTCTCCCCAATGAACTGCACAGTGCTCACTGCAGTGCCCTTAAGCACTCACAATAGTGAAGTGTATTTTGATGAAATTATAAATTCATTGTTCTAGTTTCCATAATTTCTGTTTGGATATTTTTTTTAATCTTTATTGTAGAAAGTATTACAGAAGTCCACTTTCCCCCCCATTGCCCCTTCTAGCCTGGTCCTGGTACCTGCCCCAGTCTTCACCCTCCTGTTGCCTGTGTCCATGGGTTATGCATGAATGCATACAAGGTCTTTGATTATTCTCTTCCCACCCCCCCATCCTCCCTCACCTTCCCTCTGAGATTCCACAGTCTGTTTCTGTTTGGATCTTTTAAGTGATTATTTTGTTCCTTCAACCAACCATCTGATATCCCTCAAAGCATGTTCATTCTTGACTTACTCTCTAAGAAAGTGGCTACTGCGCTTATTTTTTAAATGCCTAAATTCAAAATTCAAAGACATGATGTTTGCAAAATACTTTTTGAAGCCAAATAATGTATGTATTGTGAGTTTCTAGGGTCTAGAAATTCATTTTAAATTTATATCGTTTATGCTTGGTTTACTAAATTTAAAGGAAAATGTTCAGAAAAACCATCACTTTCTTTACATTCTATAACTTTAAAAAAAAATTTTAATTTATTGGGGTGACATTGGTCCATAAATGGTATTGGGAAAATTGGACAGATACAAGCAAAAAAATTATGAAATTGAACCACCTTCTTACACCAAAACCTACACATTGCTCATTGCAGTGATTAAAGTATTAAATGTAAAATTTGAATTCATAAAAATCCTAGAAGAAATCATAGGCAGCCAAATTTCAGACGTTTCACATAGCCATATACTTGCTGATATATCTCTCCGAACAATGGAAACAAAAGAAAAAAGTAAACAAATAGAACTACGTCAAAATAAAAAGTTTTGCACAGCATATCCATCATTTTCATTGGCCTCATTATGTCCATTAACCTTCAAGAGAGGATGGGAAAGAACTTTAAGATATAGAACCTTAACTCTTATTTAAAAAAATAAAAATATTGCTTTATCTTCTCCATTCAATCCTGCATATGAATTTATGAAGCTTTTCAGTCTCAACTGAGTTGTAAACAATCACTGAATTAGAGATCCATTTTTTTCTCTTTATTCAGATGTCTCCTGTGGCAGCCCTCCCACAGTGCAAAATGCATTCATACAAAACCGGATGCCTCAGTATCGACCTGGTGACACAGTCCTTTATGAATGCACCAACTCTTTGGGCCTCTTCGGGAATCCAGTGGTGACCTGCTTAAGTGGGAAGTGGACAGACCCACCTGAGTGCAAGGGTAGGTGTCTCATTCTCCCCTCCCAGTGTCTGTGAAGCTTCTGTAAGCACTTGGTTACTAGACTCCTGTCCAGCTGGCCTTCATTTGGTTACTCAGGTTTGTTGCTCTATCGATTCCTGTAAATTGGTTAGGGGCCGGGAGGAGGTGAGTGTAGCTCCCACCTACTCCACAGCTCCCTTAAAATCAACTGCTCACTCAATAAACCAACAATATCTTCTCTTAGATTCCACAGGACAATGTGGGCCCCCTCCTGCTATTGACAATGGAGACGTTACCACATATATAGCACCATTCTACGCTCCCGGGTCTTCAGTGGAGTATCAATGCCAGGCCTACTATAAACTTGAGGGAAACAGGAGAATAACGTGCCATGATGGACAATGGTCTGAGCCACCCAAATGCTTAAGTAAGTCATTTAATATCCTCGTAGACCCTGGGAAATCCGTGTAATGAATGTCATGTTTGCTGTTTACAACTGAACTTGCATGGACTATCACCCCTTCTGTTGACAACCAAATAGTCATGTCTGAGGGAATAAAGTCTGAAAAATTCTTGAGCATCCACAGCAAGAAACTATCATTTTTCTTTAATTTATTTTCCCCATCACCATTTATGCCCCCTGCACCCTCATCCACCTCCACCACCCCCTTCAAGGATTCTTTAATGAAAGCCCTTCATAGCGTAGGTGACATTGTCAACATTGATTATAACGTGCAATGACCACACATTCCACAGAGTACCTCATTTTTACGTCATTGATAGTTTAAAATGAGTTATGGCAACATGGTGGATTTTCAATGAATTGGTTTGGTAAAGGGTTTGAGAATAAATTTGTGGATCTGTGTAGAATATTCTACATGAAAGTGTAAAATTCTGTGGAAAATATTTGTATACTACTTGAAGTTTTATGTCCCTTTTTTAAACCTTCAGATGCCTGTGTAATATCAGAAGAAATCATGAAAGAACATAACATACAGTTGAAATGGTCATATGCAAAAAAAATTTATTCTGGAACGAATGATTATGTTGAATTTTTGTGTCGACCTCCCTATCGTAGAGTGTCACCAGCATCTGCATTCCGAGTACAATGTCATGAAGGAAAAATGGAGTATCCCTCTTGTGCATAACATGAGAGCTATGTGGCAGTTTTCACATTAAAATATGCGCCTCATTCAGAATGTTTTAATATTAATCTAATTCTTCTCAATTTATTTTTCTAGTTGGGTGTAACTCACTTTTATTCATTAATCACAATTCCTGTTAAATGCCATGTGGGAGATGTCATTGTAATCTGAGACCAACGGACCACTTCTCATAAGCATCTCATTAAAATGTGACAAACCAACATGCTTTGTGTTCTGTTCATGAAACATCTCTGGCCAGAAAGTAGATGCCATCTCTTCCCTCCCTGCTTCCCCCACCACCCTCCCAACTTTCTCAAAGCTTCTCCACAGCTGTGGGGGCCTATTGAGACTCTAATTTCAGAGGAAAAAAATAAAAAATGCTTGTCTCCATCTTCACCTTAAAATTACTCCACAAACATGTCAAAACCAAACTGTGTCACACTCATGTTGGCAGTAGATGGTAAAGGTTATTACTTAGGTTTGCTTATCTATCCATGGCTCACTATACCCCCTAAATGATGAAATGCAACATCTACTATCCATCTAGCACATACAATCATTCAAACTGGTCATAAAGAGTTATTAGATTCTAATCAGGGGCATAGCTATTGTAACAGGGGCGTAAAAGCTGATAAAAATAAAATACCGAGTATAAACACGTAGAACGCATTCACCCAGTGTGCTGTGAAAAGTGAGCCAATGTTTACAGAACAAAGACTGGCAGGAAGCACAGTTAAACACCTACCATAACTACAGTTCCGTTTAGATATAATAGGTGTGGTCATTGGGTTCAATTCTTGTATGCTCCTATTCCTCTATCTTTAACATATATCACCTTTGATCCACAAGAATATGTTAATTTAAATTCAACACATATGAAAAGTAAGACAATACATGCTGAGGAGTATAAAGAACTCTTTCATGATGATGTGGGCAGATGGTCGGGGTAAACTGCCGGAGGTGAAATTCATGGATCACTCAGTAAATATCAAAGCCCGGAGAGGCTTGCAAGACCCCTCAGTTCTCATTAACAATCAACTACAATTTGATGGCCAAAAAAGGATATTATAAATCCTAGACCAACCACTAAAAAGCGAGATCTAACCACCAACAAATTGTGTAAAATGCAATGCTAAAAGCATAGACTAATGTAAAAGAATGCAGAGGATTCTATAGAGTCCATGGGCCAAATTAGAAGCAATTGGCAAATGGCATGAGTACATCCATCAATAGTAATTACTGATATTAAATTACAATGACAAGCCAATAAGAAAGAAGAAGAAGTAGAATTGAATGAAGAGAAAACCAA